CCAGGACTCCAGAGATCCTCCTGCCTCTGCCTCCAGAACCATGGGATTAAAGGCGTGCGTCACCACGCCCAGCTTGTTTTTTTTTTTGTGGTTTTTTGTTTGTTTGTTTGTTTTTAACCCACCCCTCCCCATATCAAGATTGCAGAGAACGAACATTGTGACATCCCCATCCCTGAAGTAGTCAACCCTCCCAAACCCCATGGACCCGTCTTCTGTTACAGCTTTCGCTGTTTAACCCAACTTTGAACAAGCACCGGAGGGCCTCTTGTTCCCCACTTAAAAATGCAGCCCTCTGAGAGACTAGAAACTTAGACCTTGATGGTTTTAATCCGGGTGCTTAGCGTGGATACCATATGGTTTTTTAAAAGGTGATGGAGAATGGCATTTCTAGTATGGATATATGCATATTGGTTCCATTGTGTTGTTTTATTGAAAGATACCAAGAATTCTAGCATGTGGGGTTTAAGTATTAGAGATTGTGTAATATTTTGAGGTAGCTTTCCTTCCCGTGTATGAGAAGGAACTTTAGTCATATATGAACCCAGAAATCCTTTACTTTGTCTTCTACGTAAATATTTCTGTGTTGGTTTCAGACAAGGTCTTTCTCTGCTAACCAGGCTGTCATCGAACCCAGTGTCCCCCCCCCGCCCCCCCCCTGCCTCTGCCCCCAGAGTGGCATGTGCCTCCCTCCACACCTCAGTATATTATTTCTGAACCTTGCTGGGGATCCAAGTAGGGGTGGGTGGTGTTCAGCGGGAGTGTTTGGGAGTGGGACCAACTGCTGGATTTTAAGTAGTGGATCTAACTAGAGGAATATAGCTCATGGGGTTCCTTTTCATTTTAATATTTGCATATTGTAATTTGAGGATTATAACTTAATAACTTGAGAATTCTGTCTGGAGAGAGGTAAAGTGATTGAAGCAGTGTGAAATAGAAGGGGGAGGAGGAACTAAAGCAAGCACATGTCTTGTGAAACCCTCAAAACGGACAGTCAATGATGAGTCATCAGAAGCTACAAATATGCCTGCTGTTACTTAAGAGCGCCTGGTGACCAGGGCCTGAGGGCAGTACTTAGTTTGACTTGAGATTCAGGATTCAGTTCCCAAAGAAATGGAGAATAAAAAGCTTAATCAGACCAAAACATAAATGTAGTTGAGATAGTTTTGATAATAGAAGGAATGGATCAGCAGAGTGCCAGTAGAAATAGAAAGATGAGTGCTTCTGAAGAAAGTTTGAGTTTTGGCTTTGTCTCAAGTAAACTTGTAGTTTTGTTTATTTTACTTTGCCATATTGAAATGATTATATCAAAGGGAATGAATGCTTGCCTTACTTTTACTGAGACACCTAGCAAGAATTTAGGAGTGTGTGTGTGTCTTAATCCATGCTGTCTCTTTTTTAACTGAGCTAAAAGAGAAGCCACATTATCAGAAAGATATCTGGCAGGCACAGAACTAGAAGAAAGAAAATGGAATTTACTGGTTATTTGGGCAGGGGATACAGAAGAGCCCTTGCCTAGTAATTAGGAACTCCCTCTCCCCACATTACATCCTCAGTAGTCAGGACAAAAAAAGAATATTGATATCACTCACACCCTATGGTGTGATACACACCCTTTCTTAGGAACACTTTGAAGGAAAAATTGAAACTGCCTTCTTTCCAAGCCTGGAAAGTTTGTTAGCATAATTTTCAGTCATTTAGACAAGCTGAAGACTTTAAATTGGTTTCCCGCCATTTGGGCCTTATGCAGCTTCTTTGCTAAGTTGCCCCCCCCACACACACACACATACACAAACCATTTAAATAAACCCTGCTTAGCATAGTTCAGAATTAGATTTAACTGGAACTGCAGAGACTGCTCAGAGGTTAAGAGTGTACTGCTCTTGTAAAGGACCTGAGCTTTGACTACAATTTTAGGGAATCTTGTGCCCTCTTGTGGCTTCCATAGGTAATTGTATGCATGTGGGCGGGGGAGCTCCCAAATAAAATTAATCCTTTAAAAAACTGCTTTGGAGAGCAAGGCAGTTAAGTGACCTTTGATCTCTGAGACCCACATGATGAATGGAGAGATCTAACTATGGCAAGTTGTCTATTGGCCCCCTCGTTAACACTGGCATGTATCTTTCACACACAAAGGGGTAAATGGTAGATACTGGCCCTGGGAGAAATCCAGATTGCATATAGGAAGTTGTAGATGAGGTCTGGACATTGTATATACATTATCTGATGTCACTAGCCATGTCTCAGTTTAAGGATTGGTCTAAGTCTGGCATTTAGAGAAAGGAACTCTACAGAGTTTGAGAGAAACCTCATTAATGAAAGGCTCTTTACCTTTAAACCAGTCACTTCCTTGCTTCTCTCTTAATTATTTGTATTATACTTTGCCAGGCTGAAGGACATTTGTGATACTATTGGGGTGGATTAGCCCTAACTATAGCGTGGGTGCTATTCCTGTATTTAAATCTGTGTGCATTCATTTCAGTCTAGACTTTTAAAACTCAAATTCAGAGGCTGGGATTGTGGCTCAGTTGGTAAAATTGTTAACATAAGAGTGACCTAATTAAAAAATCTGTATAAATAGAAGGTAACAAGAAAGAATCAGTTTCTGCCTAAATGCTTTGTCTAAGTTTCTACTGCTATTTTGTGTGTCAGGGGTGCATATGTACATTCTGATTCTTGTATGGGCCAGACGTCAGCGTGGGTATGTCCATGACTCTAGAACTATTTTTGAGGCATGGTCTTGTTGAACCTGTAGCTTGCCAATTAAGACTGGGTAGCCATTGTGTTTCAGGGATCCATATGCCCCACCCCCACCCCCACCTCCAGGTCTGGAGTAGCAGTTCTATGCTATGGTGTCTGGCTTTTTATATGGATGTGAGTGATATGAACTCTGGTCCTCATATTTGGACAGTGTACACATTAGTGGCTGAGTAATCTCTCCAGCCCTTGAGCAATTTTAATTGGCCCCTTTAAAAAAATTTAATGGCTGGCCAGGTACACTGATGCATATCTATAATACCAGCACTTGGGTGTCAGAGGCAAGCAGATCTCTTTTGAGTTTGGGGTCAGCCTATTCTATAGAGTGAATTCCAGGACAGCCAGGGCTACACTGAGAAACCCTGTCTCAAAAAACAAAATGAATGAGTATCTCTGAAGGCAAACACTATAAAGGATTTGTTTTACTAAGTAAAAGAAAGTGTATTAAAAGCTCATCATTTGTTCATCATTTAGTATTAGGTCAGTTCCATTCATAAATCATCTCTCATGGCAGTGGTATTGTGTTCTGAGCTTAGGGAAATGTACCTAAAAAGATTTTAAGAGCCTGTGTGACCCTCTGTATAATTATACAACCATCTTTAGCTTTCAAACTTACCCTTTTCCCCACTCCTGGTTAACAGATGCGGCATTCCAAACGAACTCACTGTCCTGATTGGGATAGCAGAGAAAGCTGGGGCCATGAAAGCTACAGTGGAAGCCACAAGCGGAAGAGGAGATCGCACAGTAGTACACAAGAGAACAGGCATTGTAAACCACATCATCAGTTTAAAGATTCTGATTGGTAAATGACTTGTATTTTAAGTTCTAACAGTTTTAACAATTTGTCAATTGCTTATAGCTTTTATTAAATTCAGAATTCAGGCAACATGTTTATCCATTCAAAAAAAACCAGTTAAACAGAGAGCCATTGTAGTTAGCTTCTATAGTGCTGAGACTATAGCTGTGAATAGAATAGTTTCTCATATGTCTGACTGGGAATGGTAGGAGATAGATAGTTGCTCAGCAAGTGAATAAAAAAAATAAGGGCTCCGGGGATGTAGTTCAATGCTAGAACACCTGGTGCCTACTATGAGTGATGTCCTAAAATCCTTAGAAACATCTCCATCAAAAAAGGGGAGGGAAGGCAAAAGAATATATCCAGCAACATGTACAAAGTTGAATAATAATGCTACCCAATGAGTGTTTTTAACTTGTATAGGAAGATGGTATGTATATTTGGGTGTGCAAAAAAGTGTTTCACAATTGAGGTATCGTAGAGGGTGGTTAATCCAGGTGAGAAAGGCAACATAATGCTATTTGAGAACATTAAAGTGCTTTGGGGATTAGACACTAGTGTTCTACAGGTTATGTTTATAGAAGAAAATCAATGGGTATGTCTGAGATTTTTAGAAACTTGCTTTATTTTGAGAACTGTTCCTTTCCATGGGCATTCTCTGCTAATTTAGGATAGAGCCTCAGTAAAATATTATGGAAATCTTGTTTATTTTGCAATATAAAGTGTGGAGGCAGTACATTTATATAGAATTAAAAGAATCTTGATAGTAAAGAAAGGCTAGATGAGTAGTTTCTTTCACTCTGCCTTCCATTAATTTCCCTTTCTCATTTGTTTTGTTGGTTCTATGTTTTCTCCTTGTTTGTACAGATGTTCCATTGGGGCTGTTTACCAGATTGCTTTCTAAATTAGCCAGCTGGGGTTATTTTAAAAAACAGTATGTAATTTTTTTTTCCTTCTCCGTGCTAAACAGAGTTGTTCTGCCAAAGAGCTTGTTTGTAGTTCTTATACAATAATCATGCTTTATCAAACAGTTATGTAAGGGGTATGGTTTATGGCAAGATTCAATGACCAGACCTTATTAATGAACAGTACACAATACAAATTGTTTGTACCCCATTATTAATGTGTACAAAATACTTTTTAAAGCTTACCATCTTACAAGTATTTATTCATAGTGCTATTTTTCATTATAAATGTCTAAAGGTTGATTTGAGTGATTTGTGTCCATAATTAACTATAAAAACCAAGTCAGTTTAATTAGCCTCTAAGCCAGCACTGCCATCTTTGACATTGACACCAGAACAATTTGATGGTGGTTATTCATCCTATTCCAAAATACTCATTAATTGTAAAAAAATCTTTTTGAAAGCTAAACATTTTATAAATATTTTAATAAAATAACTGAGAAATTGAAGAAGCAGCAAAGCATAAAGAAAGGAGCAGCAGGATGGAAACCATTGCCTGTGACTTGATTGAATTACTTCTCACTGTCTGTTCCTAAAGGATCTTTGTGTACAAATCTTTGCCTGGGAAAATAGATTCTAAGAAGAGGCATTTGCAAGTTAAAGGGTATGAAGTCTCACAAGGTTCTTGTTGCATATTCTCATTTCTTTTTCTAGAAAGCTTATAACATGCTTCTTCGTGCTGTCTCTAGTTTTGTCTTTTTAAAATTGTTTTCTTAATCTGAATTTCTAAATTTCTAGTGAATTTGTTCAGTTTCATGGAGAATTTTTTGCATCAATTGTTTTCTATTATTGTATGTTTCTTACTGTTTTACAAGACTTTATTGTGTATCATTTGAGCCCTTTGTTATAAGCATTATAAAGCTCTTTTCTTGATTTATCTTTTGGCAAAAGCCTGTGAGTTGGTCTCTTTCAGGGGCCTTAATTAATCTATTCTGCCTCAATTCTGGGAAGACCAACATAGCTGTAAATAACCTTTATATAGTAAATCCAGAATCATTCAGTGTCTTCCCATAACACAGAATGCCAAGTTTTAAGCCTTTAACTTCATATGACTAGAAATCACCTAGGAGGTATACAGACTAAGATTCAGACTCAGTGTGACCTGGGTCCTCATTCATAAATTCTATATTCAGTGCTAGTAGACTGTCCTTTCACAAACACCTTCAGTTTGATGTGTGTGGGCTTCTGGTGACATATTCTCCTGGGTAAAAATTGGCTCTTGATGCAATCATCTACTTGCTCTCTGCAGAGTAAAGTGTAGATACATGCATTCTAAGCCTCTGACTGGTGGTGCTGTCTGTGTAAGATGGCACTATGCTGTTTTCCTGGAATTTTTCCTACTGTCCATTTTGTCCAAATCCTGGCTTTCCTTTAAGATGCTTATCTGCTTTTGTCTTTGTCATGAATTCTTCCCTAATCATTTAATGAGATTGAAATCTTTGCTTTCCCTGAGTCTAAGCGATCATTAGCACCTTTTCAACAGTTTTTTTTTTTTTTTTGCATTTGTCTATTTTGATTTTTCTATTTTTGTGTGTGAGTAATCTTAAATTGTTCATTTATTGGGGAGAGACTTTGCCTTATATGCTTTATTTTATCTCCCACAGGACCTTTGTGGAAATAAAAACAAATGTCAGTGCACTCAACAGTTTGGGCTGTTTTGAAAAGCTACAATGAAATATTCACTGAGCATTCAGTGGATATTTTTTAAAAAATCAGACCTGTTATTCTGTCTGCCCTGTCCACAGCTTGTATAATTCTGTAGACTTTAACCTTTGGTCTTTGGTTGTCATAAACGGGAAAGGTCCTTCTCATGTTAGCTCTGTTCATGATAGTACATCACCACCCCCATTTTTTTTTTTAATCATTAGTAGATTGTTTTGGAGTGTCAGCAGGGCCAGTTTCACATAGTATTCCAGTTAAAGATTATCAGTGTAGTTTTTTAAGGTAGACTTTGAATGTGTGGAGGTGGGTGTGATAATTTATAAAATTAAATAGGATGCCCTTAGAAGTATGACATCTAGTTTGTTGTGTTTCATCTAGATCTCTGTTTTAGACCAATTGACTCAGGTCCAGAGTTTTATCCTAATAGCCTGAGTTGTTTTTCCAGAGGTTAGGAAGAACTTGAGAATGATGCTAGGCCATAAGAAAGCCTAGCCTGAATTAGATGCCAGGTCTGTTGAGCAGTTGTCCTAGGGATGTTTCTCTTTATTTCTGCTTAAACCAGCACTTGGGAAGAAAATGACAGCATATCCTGGGGGAGTGTAAAGGGGTTGAGGGGGGCAGCCTCAGCAACATCTGTCACTCCATTGCTTGTCAGGATTATTTAGCTGATTTGTCTGACTGGGCAGGTGTCCCCTCTCTCCCTCAGTGCTCCATGTGCATCCCTCTTGAAGCTTCGCACTCTGTTGAAGAGGACACTCATCCCAGGTAGAGGGGGGATGGGAAACTGGGCCAATTGAATCTGTCCTTTTCTTTCCATCAGATCAGGACACTTAACTGGGACCCATTGACTTCCTGAGGTCCATGACCTCCATGAAGTTCTTGCCAAGTTTTGTTTATGCATTTGCACATTTCTTGGGGGAAAGGGTCTACAACCTATCCCATCAGGTTCTCAAAGGGATCTGTAGAAGCACTGTGGCACTAGAAAATGCTGTTTTCTTTTCTATTTCTTGGGTATTTTCCAAGAGTCACAGGAAATTAGAAATGCAAAGTCAAACTGGAGAGATGGCTCAGCCATTAAAAGGCTAGGCTTACAACAAAAAATACAGGAAATGCAAAGGCAAATAGAATGGAAGGATGTCCACAGTCCTGGACCCTTTTGGTTAGGAGGGTCAATTTTAGGTGTACTTGGCACATTAGGCAGGCCTCAGAAGTTCTGGTGTCTGATTGTCAAACAGGAGTAATAGAAAGCTTAGACATAGAAAAGAGAGGAGTTAGAATAGGTGACATGTTTGAAATATCTTAGTTTTTGCCACTAGTGTACTCTGCAACAATGGCATATCCTTTAGGGGTCTTAATTGAGTTAGTAAATAAAAGGACTGAAAATACATTTAAGGCTCCTGTATCTGTGATACACATTATGGAAGAAGTCTGTCAGGGATATCAAAATGCACTTACATTAAAGGGGAAAGGAATCCTCTTTTGCCTTTCTCTAAATGTGTGTCTCTGAGAGAGCGAGAGCGGGAAAGGAAGCTAGTTTCAGATGTTGTAAGATCAGTGCATTTCAGAACAGGTTTGCAGGTTTGATCTTGACTTTTCACAAGGTAAAGGAACATTTGATTTTAAGTATTTTGTAATTAAAGCTCTGTTCCTTGGTATGAATTGTTGACAGCAGTTTTCTAATGTGTGGGGTTTTTTGTGTGGGGTGTTGTTTTGTTTTGTGGGTTTTTTTTTTTTTCTTTCTTTCTTTCTTTTTTTTTTTTTTTTTTGGAGATGTTTCATGTGGCCCAGGCTGGCTTCAAACTTGCAATGTACCTCACTCAGGATTACCTTGAATTCTTGATCCTCCTGCCCTCACCTTCCAAGTGTTGGGATTACAGGCATATACCAGCATGCCTGGCTGTAGCAAGTGTATATGGGAAAATATGGAACTATTTGGTTAAAGTTATTAAGTTATCTGAGATAAGTATAAATCTAATCTCATCGACTTGAATTTTTCCTTTTATTGTGTTAGCTATTTAAACCAAGAATTCTTAAGAATTTTGTTTGAACCACATTATTTCAGAATGAAGAGAATAACTTGAGATCCTTGAATGTGTTTACAGTCACTATTTAGAAGCAAGATGCTTGAATGGAAGAGATTATCGGGACCGGAGATACATTGATGAGTACAGAAATGACTACTGCGAAGGATATGTTCCAAGACATTACCATAGAGACATTGAAAGCAGTTACCGGATCCACTGCAGTAAATCCTCAGTCCGAAGCAGGAGGAGCAGCCCTAAAAGGAAGCGTAATAGACACTGTGCAAGTCATCAGTCACATTCGGTATGAGTGATTTGTTTTTATTTTGAATGGATTCTTGTTTGTAAGGCTCTAAAAGAATGATAAGTTTCTGAAAAAGTTTTTTTAATACTATTTGGATATGCTATAATTTATATTCATATACTTGAATCCTTAAAGGAAGTGAACACATACTCATAACTGACACCTGTGTATTATTAGCTAGTCTTCACTTGCCCACACTTACTCATTCTGCAAACCAGATCATGAATTTGTTGGTTTTAATAGTAAAAAGCATCTTATTTTGTGGTTGTACAGTATATTTAAAAAAATGAGGCACCCATAGTTTTCTTTGAATGTAAACTTTTTTTTTTTTTTTTTAAAGAAACTGCTTTACTGTTTATTGGAAACAACTCAGGCAGGTCACATTGTTGGGGTGCTTAGCGATTGCTTACTAGTGTGTAGTCTAGCTTCTAGTACAACACAACATTATTGTCTGCAGTTAATTTTGCTGAAGTTGTGAACCTGGGTGCTGAATGGGAAATGTATTGAGAAAGCCAGACGTCTTTAATTTGTAAATTTTGAGATACCATTTCCCTCCCGAAGTTTTTTAGACGTCTTTAATTTGTAAATTTTGAGATATCATTTCCCTCCCGAAGTTTTTTCTGTTACAACTAGCATTTATTAGATTGAAGATTGAAATTAGCCTTTACTTCCCCTCTTATTATGATGTCCATTTTTAAATGTTGCTAAAAGAGAACAATTTCAACCAATCTTGACATTTTTCTGACAAACTAGACAACTCAACTCACAGCATATGGTTATAGCAGAAAATAGTAAATCTTGACATTGCATTCTTTAAAACTTCAGACTTCAATTAAATCAGTATTTTAAAGAGACAATTGTGTTGTTTTTTTCTATTGCCACTTTAAGTATCTTATCTGAAAATCTGTTCCTTGCCATGTTTTTCTTCTGTAACATAAACTGTGCCCTGTGAATTTCTGGGGACTGAATTTGAAATTGCTCCTGCCAACTGTTCGTGGCCTGGTGCTTATCTGAATGCCTGAATATCTCCCCGCTGAATGAATTGCGTATTCTGCCCTGAATTCACTCTGATATATTGATTGGCTGGACGATCTTGGTGCTGCCCACTTGCCGTTCCAGAAGAGCCACCGAAGGAAAAGATCCAGGAGTATAGAGGATGATGAGGAGGGTCACCTGATCTGTCAAAGTGGAGACGTTCTAAGAGCAAGATGTATAGAATATTTTTCAACACTTTTTAAACTTTGCAGACAGAATAATCTTTTAAAGAATAGTTTGTCAGCGGGGGGCTAAAGACTCTTCATTGCTTTTTTGTTTTATTTTTTGTGGGTTTGTTTGTTTTGTATTTCTTCTTTTCTGTAGAATTTAAATATTTCTATTCTTAAAATTCCAAAATAATCAGTGGAGATTGAGATTAGAGCAAGACAGATAGCTCTATCTAATTGCTTTGTAGCAGCTGAAAATACAATAACTTGAGCGATGAAACCTTAGTTATGCTTTGCTAGAGATCATTTGGAAATATGACACACTTAAGCATTCATTGTTTGAACAACTGGATAATTGTACTTGGGTACTTAGACCTCTCTTTCTCTCCCTTACTTTAGATGAAATCGTGGACACTTTAGGTGAAGGGGCCTTTGGCAAAGTTGTAGAGTGCATTGACCATGGCATGTAAGTTTTCTTTTTCTTTTTGAGCATTCTGATGAAATGTATTTTAAAGTATTTGCTACAAGTTTTCCTGAGAGGTATTAAACAGAATTTCTGGAACTCAATATAATTTATGTGCCATGAATATTAATTTTGTTGTGTACAATGTTAGTCTGTCTCAGATGAAGGTTACTCTGTAATTAAAGGAGTGCTCAAATTCTTGTAGGATTCAGCTGCTTTTGAATTTCAGAGTAAATAGAGTACATCCAAATTTACATATTAAAACACATTTCTTGAACTACAAGGAAATTCTGTTGACCTATAGAATAAATACATTCTCTGGTGGGATATACTGACCTATCTCATTGCATGCACCTTGTCCCTTAAGAACCTCTGTTCTGTGGTTTTACCACTTTTTTTGTAAGTGAATTTAAAGTAATTTAGTGAAGCAACACCTTTCTAAAATGACATCTGAATTTGTTCATCAGAAATAGTTGGGAAGGGTATAATTTTCCAGATTACTGTGTAGATCAGTAGGGATTCTTTTTGTTTGCTTGTTTTGTTTTTGTTGTTTGTTTGGATTGTTTTTAGGCCAGGCTGACCTCAAACTCAAAGAGATCCACCTGTGTCTGCCTCTGGAGTACAGAGATTAAAGGTGTGTGCCACCACTGCCATGTGCTACTTGAATTCATACTTGGGAATGTTTTATTGTTGGGCTTGGTGTGTGGCTTAGTGGTAAAGTGCTTGACTCACATGGTGGGCAAGGTCTGCTGTCACTAGTCAAATGTTTTAACCCTAAATTTCCTTCCATCCAATTGACCATGATTTTCTCAAAATAATGTTCATACTGTTTAAGAATTATTTGTGTGTTTGGGGGGGGTGCTGGGGAGATGGCTCAGAGGTTCAGAGCACTGATTGTTCTTCCAGAGGTTCTGAGTTCAATCACCAGTAACCACATGGTGGCTCACAACCATCCGTTATGAGATCTGGCACCCTCTTCTGGCCTGCAGACATACATACAGGCAGAACACTGTGTACATAATTGATAAATAAATCTCTTAAAAAAAAAGAATTATGCATGGAAATGCCCCAACCCAAAGCCTACCACTCTTTATTTTTTTTAAAAAAAGATTTTATTTATTTATTATGTATACAGTCTTCTGCCTGCATGCCAGCAGAGGGCACCAGATCTCATTCAAGGTGGTTGTGAGCCACCATGTGGTTGCCGGGAATTGAACTCAGGACCTCTGGAAGAACAGTCAGTGCTCTTAACCGCTGAGCCATCTCTCCAGCCCCAAAACCTACCACTCTTGATGTAGCTATTTCTACACACTTTTCGTGAATGAGTCTGCTTGGATGATGGGTGGGGCCTTTAATAGCTTGTAGATAGGGTCTTTACCCAGCTGTTTGGTTTTTCTCCTAGTTTGACAGACTCACAGCTATCTTTTCAGGGCTCAGTTCTATATCACTGTATAAATTGCTGTTTTATTGTATGAGTAGTTGGGGTTTCATCTCTTGTGAGGATGTCTTAATACTCATCTGCCTTGGTCATTCATTAGATGAGGCATGTAGAAGTGAGCCCCATTGTTCAGTACTCGCACCTGTGCTTTCTCTTTAGCACAGAGTAGATCCAGCCTGGCAAATAAACAAATGCTTTGAACAGCCACATACTCTTTGTGTGTGTGTGTTTTGCTTTCAATTTTTTTTTTGTAAAGTATAGGTAAATGTAAATTTTTAAAAACAAATGTTAAAATTCCTAAATATTATGTGAGTGATTGCTTTGTTTGGAAAAATATTCTGGAACCTAGTAGTAATGTGCTCTGGAAGATTTAGAACAATAAAATGGGAAACATGTAATTACAATTGTATTTTAGGAGGCTGAGGTAGGAGTATTACAAGTTCAGTGTCAGTCTGGGATACATAATGAGTTTAAATTCAGTTGAGCTACATAATAGTGAAATCTGGTCTCAAAAACAAAACAAAAAAGGAATGTGCTTTTCTCAAGGTATGGAGTTATTCCACCACTTGTATGTTTAGCATCATCATCTTTTGTTTTTAAGGGATGGCTTACATGTAGCAGTGAAAATTGTGAAAAATGTAGGCCGTTACCGGGAGGCAGCTCGATCTGAAATCCAAGTACTGGAGCACTTGAACAGTACAGACCCCAACAGTGTCTTGTAAGTATACATTCAACCACAAAGTGTCATACTGTATGAGCTGCTCACTTCTAGGCACTTAATTATTATTTTCATCTCTTTTAGCCGATGTGTCCAGATGCTAGAATGGTTTGATCATCATGGTCATGTTTGTATTGTGTTTGAGCTGCTGGGACTTAGTACCTATGATTTTATTAAAGAAAATAGCTTTCTGCCATTTCAAATTGATCACATAAGACAAATGGCTTATCAGATCTGCCAGTCTATAAATTGTAAGTATTCGTGAATACATGGTATATTTTATTGTATTTATTATCTAATCAGCATGTGAACACTTGCAGGTTACAGGTAAAGCTGAAATCCCTTTTGACCCCCATATCCTAGCACCAGTTAAAATCTGAGACTAATGATGGTTTTCTATTTTCTTTATAGTTTTACATCATAATAAATTAACTCATACGGATCTAAAACCTGAAAATATTTTATTTGTGAAGTCTGACTATGTAGTCAAGTACAATTCTAAAATGGTGAGTTAAAGACTTGTTTTAATTTGGGTGTTGTCTTTAAAATTAATTTAGCTTGATGATCCTTAAATGAGGAATTTCACTCTGATATTCACCCACAAGTGGAGTAGGAACAGGATATTTGTATATCCCAGTTGGGAAGAGAGAATAGGGAAGGGCAAAGGAGGGAGGATTCATTTGCAAGCCTTTTGAGTAGTGCTGTAGAATATTTTATGTCTTTATTGAGTTTCATCTTTACTTATCTGTGTCTTTAGAAACGAGATGAGCGCACATTGAAAAACACAGATATCAAAGTTGTTGACTTTGGAAGTGCAACATATGATGATGAACATCATAGTACATTGGTGTCCACACGGCACTACAGAGCTCCAGAGGTCATTTTGGGTTAGTACACACCAGGCTTCCTTATACTCTAATTGTTGAAGGTCATGGTTAACTAAAATTATGTTAGCAGGATACAGAAATGAGTATTGTGTGTTTCTCCTCTGTGACGGTGATTGTGAAAGGTATTCTAAGTGCTGATTTGTGAACCTCAAGTGATCATAACAGTGCGTACATCGGGTAAGGGTATCCTAGTCTTGTGATTGTGAGATTATGTAATCACCCATTTCTACTCTTATTGCCAAAGTAAGGCTCTGGTACAGATGCCCAGGGCTTGGTTGGCTGACTTAGACATGATAGATAAGGAGCAGGAGAAAGAGACTTAAGCAAGAGTCTCTGTGTTAGCCATTATAGGAGGAAGATGGAAGTTAAAGGGAGGATTTTGGAACTCAGGGAGTATGTATTACATCTCAAAACTTAGAAGTCACTGATAGGATTGGGGGGCTTGTAAACAGGACAGATCAGGTGTTGTTGTTGATACAGGTCTGAAGTTGGGAGTTACTGGAAAAAGAATCTGGAGTCTGGGGGACTAGAATACCATGTGTGGGTGTGGGTGATGTTCCCGTGGTGACAGCAGATGAGAGAGGAAGATGTAGTTAGATGCTACAGTAGGGAGAAGGCAGTTGCCCTAGATGCTAGCAGTCAGGTAACATTGGGAAGGGGTGAGAAAAGCGAGTGAGATGAAGTACCATAGGATGAGAAGTGATTCATTGAGTAGTCATCTGAGGGAAAGCATATTGAGGTGTATGCTTTTATCAGAGCTCAAATTCTAGTGTCTGTGTTGCTATGTAAGTTTTCCAGTAGTGAGCATTGTAGAGTGAACAAAAGTGACTAAATCGCGGCCAGGTGTGGTGGTACCCACCTATAATTCTACCACTTGTAAGACTGAGGAAAATACCAAGTCCCAGACCAGCCTGAACTACTTGCACTAAAACTGTGAACCCTGAGGTTGCTGTTGTGGTCTCCCACAAGAGCACTCGAATGTGGGGAAGGGAGAGTCAGCAGTTTAAAGTTGTTCCATAGTAACATGCTTGTTTGTTTTGGATAGCTTTAGGTTGGTCTCAGCCTTGTGATGTTTGGAGCATAGGCTGCATTCTGATTGAGTATTACCTTGGGTTCACAGTCTTCCAGGTATGTATCTAATACATTTTATTTGATGACCTATAATGAATTTTATGTTAAGCATGCTTTATATTTAGCTTCCATACAGAAATTACCATAGGCTGTTATTGACAATAAAATGTAATATCACTCTTCTGAAATCACTGTTGATTGAATTCCTACTAGTAGTAAGGTTGTAACTTGTTTTGAATGTATGTGTGATATCTTTAACATGTAATTCATATAGAGTTCATATTATGTGTTCTGGATTTTCTTTTTTTTGTTTTATTGAACTTTTTCAAACTTATATTGGTGTATATGTGGCTAGTTATAGTTCTGCTAATCTAGTCTTTTTGTTATTATTTTTATTTACTTGAGGGGGTGCACACATGTGAAAGATAACTTGTAGGAGTAAGTTCTTTTACTATGTGAGTCTCAAGGATTGAACTCAGGTTATTGGTCTTGCAACAAGGACCTTTTACCCATTAAGCCATCTCTCTCTCTGGCCTTAGTCTAGTCTAATACAGGGTTTCGCTGTATAGCCCTGGCTATCCTAGAAGTCACTTTGTAGACCAGGCTGGCCTCAAACTCAGAGATCTGCCTGCTTCTACCTCCTGAGTTCTAGAATTAGCCCAGCTTAGACTAGTCCTTAAAATATAATCAGCATATATTTTACTTTTCTCTTTTATGTGCATAAAAGGAAGTGGAAAGTGCTAAATTCCTTTTTCCTGAATTTTTTTAGACTCATGATAGTAAGGAGCACCTGGCAATGATGGAGCGGATATTAGGACCCATCCCAGCACACATGATCCAAAAGACAAGGTTTGTCTTAAGATGCATTCAGTGGCCTTTGCTTAGACTATAGAAAGCATAACATCCATCCTAAGGACTGCAGATTTGGAAGGAAATAAGAAATTCTGTACAAGTGATAACTTAGAGCTATAATCTTAGCATTTTTTTAAAGGTCATTTCCAAAAAATAATTCAATATTTTAACTTTCGCTCTTGTAGAAAAGGTGATTTAATTGTGTTACTGAGGCTAATTTTTATGTAGATGTTTTTCTAAGTTGATGAAAAAGCAGTACATCTGAGAGCCCAGTTCTTACTGGAGTCTGTTAGTCTTGATTGAATTTCCTGTTGTTGCTAGCCATCTCTGTGTCATTGAACAGGATAGTGTGTTTTGTAGCTCACCTGGGAAGTTGTTAAAAGATTCCTATCCCCATCCAGATTGGGTGAGATCAGAATTCACCGTCAGAAGTCTCCTTTTGTAAAGTGAGCATTTTCTCATTTGTGAACAACTTAGGATAGCTAGAATTTCTCAGGGAAGTTGAAAAAGGAAGTTGCCAGTATTTAAAAAAATTATGCACAGGAAGATGTGTCTGTACATTTAGTGAGAGTGGAACTTTGCTTATTTTACTAATTTCAATTTCTTTTCTCTTGTAGGAAACGGAAGTATTTCCACCATAATCAGCTAGATTGGGATGAGCATAGTTCAGCTGGGAGATATGTCAGGAGACGCTGCAAGCCATTAAAGGTAAAGGAAAAAAAGATTAATGATTAAGTAACATTTTTTACTCATGTCTTCATTTAACAAGACCATTTCCCCCCAGGAATTTATGCTGTGTCACGATGAGGAACATGAAAAGCTATTTGACTTGGTTCGAAGAATGTTGGAGTATGACCCAGCGAAAAGGATTACCTTGGATGAAGCATTGCAGCACCCTTTCTTTGACTTATTAAAAAGGAAATGAATGGGAATCAGTGGTCTTCCTATATACTTCTCTAGAAGCAATTACTTTAAGACTGTGTCAGTCAACTAAACATTCTAATATTTTTGTAAACATTAAATTATTTTGTACAGTTAAGTGTAAATACTGTATGTTTTGTATCAATAGCATAAACTACCTTGTTAAGTATGGTGTTGATAATGAATGCAATATGAGTTAAAATGAATTTTCCCTTTTGATGTTAATTGCCATTTTTAAAGGCCTTTGGAATACCCTTTGTGTCCAGTGATTAATGTGATTGGTCTTGTCTTTTGTACATGAAGGTTGACTCTGAAGTGATTCTTTTTTTTCCCTTGAGTAAAAGGAAATCTTGACCACTTTGTGTGATTGAGTATTCTTTATACACCTCAAATGTAGAATTTTTCATGACAAAGGTGTTTTTAGACCTTGATTATTGAATGGGCAGTATTCTAGGTGGGCAGATTTTAAAAACCAAAACTCAGAAAAATTAGCTCGATGAAGTTTCATTTAATTTTGTTTTCTGTTCTTTAGATGATGTCCACAGCTCCACTGAAAAACACGCGATTGGTCCATGATGGAGTTTAATCAGGCCATACATACATCATTTAAGACTTAATTTTACATTGCAGACAGATTTGAGTTGTATCTGTCTGTATTTCAAACCGCAAATATGTGGAGCTTTTTTCTGCATGACAAGTAGTAAGCCAGCCTGTACTATAGCTGTCTAGAGGTGGTTTTCCTACTACAGTATGGGTAGGAACTTGAAGGCTATAGCTGCATGTCACAGAGTCTACATAAAGCATATCAAGACTTCTGATATAGTCCACAGTCAGTATACACCATCTTCAGAACATTTCTAAAGTCACTGAAGTCAGTCCTGAAACTGTCATTGCCACACAATGTTGCCATTATTTCCCATCCCATTCTTAGGTCCACTTCCTGTGCTTCCTTAAGCCTATCTTTCCCCTAGGGTGGGCTCTTGGGGCCCATCCTCAAAAACTTCTCATAGGCTGATCTTGATGTAAAAGGAAAGAAAAATGATCACATTTCTAAAAATAGTGGTTGCTTTTGGGGGCTAGAGAGATAGCTCAGCAGTTAAAGAGTATATACTGTTCTTAGAGAGGACCAGAGTTAGATTCCCGGCACTATGTTGTGCTAACACCTGTAACCATCTCTAGGGAATGGGATGCTGTCTTCTGACATTCAGGGAGCTGCACTAATGTGCACATACATACCCATACACACATAACTAAAACTAAAATGTTTAAAGGTAATGGTCTCCTAAATCCATTTCTGAAAATGAACATTCTTCAAGGTGTTTTACTAACTTGTGTTCTAATTCACACTTTAGGATTTATTGCAAAACTTAGAAGAAATGAGTAATGGTCAGGATGGTCATTCTGGAAACGTCCTTTGCCAAGCATTCCCTCTGAGCTCTCAGCTGCCTGTTCCTACCTTCCTGTATTGCTGCCCTTATTTTCTAGAAGGTTCATTGCTTTTCACAGTGTTTGTGGCTTCAGCACTAAAAGGAAAAGTCTTAGACAAGCAAATACATCAATATGGGTCATTTATAATAGAGGTAATTTGAAAAAAATATTTTTGAATATTTTATACATGGATATAATGATCATATCTCCCTTTTCCCTTTTAACTCCCATTTTTTTTTAAAGGAGGAATGTTATGCTCTTAAGAAATGAACATTCTCTGATAAGAATATACTTGAGTTATTGGGGGAGGCTGGTCCTATATTAGTGGGTTTTTTTTTTCATCTAAAAAACTTTAATATAAAAATGAGTTCCCCTTCCCAAATTTATAGCCCAGCTTCAAAGTATTGAAACACATGGCATAATTTTCAACCAGACAAAATTGTGTTGTTTAAATAAAAATGCCTGATACCATATTGCATCTACAATTCTAAATTTTAATATCAGTTTATATGGGCAAGGTGGCTCAGTGACTAAAAGTACTTGTTGCCAAGTCTGACAACTAAGTTGTCATGCATGCATCCACCTCCATACAAATAAATATAACTTAAAAAAAAAAAAAAAGCTTCAAAGCTACAGAGAAACCCTGTCTCAAAAAACAAAAACAAAAAAAAAAAACAAAAAAAAATCTGGGTCTAGAGAAATGGCTCAGAGGTTAAGAGCACTGGCTGCTCTGCTCTTCCAGAGGTCCTGAGTTCAATTCCCAGCAACCACATGGTGGCTAAAACCATCTATAATGAGGTCTGGTGCCCTCTTCTGGCCTATAGGCAGAACACTATACATAATAAATCTTTAAAAAAAAAATTGACTGATTACTCATCTATTTAAAAAAAAATCTGTTTAGTCTTATCTTAGAAATGTCATCTTATACTTGGATTATTATATATACAGGACCCAGCCAAGATGACACATTGATATCTCACTGGCCTTTGCCTTCCCTGTGTTTTGTTTTCTGGTTAAGGAGCCAGTATGTCCTCTAACTTATTTTTGGCTGTTTTTCGTGACTTTTGCTTCCCTGGGTTGGGTGATAGGTGGTTGGTAATT